TCTGGTTATCGTTTTTTGGCAAGTGAGATTTCGACGGAATGGGGTCGCCAACCCCATGTCCAACCCTCCTCCTTTATAGGGGCCTAGACCGGCAGTAGGTCGGAAGGTTCCACTGGCGGAGTTCATGAGGTATAAAGGTTTTCATAATCCAGTCAACAGATAACAGAAGGAAATAAGGTGAGAGTAATCAGCTTTGTCTAAGTCTTCACGTAGAATACATCTGTGAGCTACCCCTCTATGCACAAAGTCGTTCGTAGTTCTGTATGATGGTGACGGTCTTTTTGAACAGCGATCCTCCTGTAGTGCTTACAGTTGCCGAGACCTTTCTTCAGTATAGTGATGAGGTGTCCCTACTTCGAGACTGTTGGCAGTTGTTCTTCCTTCTAAGTATTTTTGACGAGAACACCTTAAAAGTTACCTGTATATCTGATACCGGTTCCCTGTATGGTATGGTGTCTGGTCCTACTTCTTCGCTACCCTTGCTGTCTTATGACCTCGTTACTCATTGCTATTGTTGCTGTTGTTCTTGTTGTCGTTGCTGGTGTTGTTGTTGGGGTATCAGCCATAAGGCAATCTGCGTATAACGCTTCGATATCTACTGCATCTAGCGGTTACGGTTTACTCAAGAACTTTCAAAGTACTTTATCCGTCTGTATCATCGCTTTTGATCCTCTGTGATTGCTTTTTTTTATTGTTAACTGTCGATCTGGTCTACCACATATCCATGCCACCTACTGATTTTATCACATGGTTCTTTTATATTTCCTTCCATTTCAGCCTAAACCTCTGTAATTGCCAGGTCTTCTACATTTTTCCTCCATCTTCAGTGCCTTCCAATCTTTTGTTTGTTGAACCTCTCCTCTAGACTTCTGTAGCTGTTGATGATTGCTATCTGATTGTTTTTCTGTCCTTGAATCTTGCAAAGACTTTCTACGCTGATGTTTCTGCGGCTCAGTTCCATCTAGCTTATCAAATTTTTTTCATCTTTAATCCCTTTCAAGTTACGCTCCGTAGTGGTTTTCTCTTTTACTAGTTATAATAGAGCTTGGAACTTGTTGTCAAAAGACATCTTGAACTCACTTAGATTATTAGCATTTCAAATAAAGGCTATGTTTAACTTTTGTGGCGCTGTCCGCCAAACTGTTTAGTTATCCTTTGGTTTCAGTCCTAAGTTGTCTACCACCTCTTAATGATCTAAAGGTCTACGAACTCTCTTTGTTTTTACATCTTGCAGGTTTAATCGACCTGGTCTTCTGCATTGTGGTTCGATAAAATACACGTAGCTCTCTTTATGTCTATGGCAGGAAACACCGTTACCTATAACCTTGTTTTTGAAAACACTTGCATGTACGAGTCTGTTACCATCCTCATTTCTTTCTTCAATCCCGTTTCTCGTTCATAACCCGTGTTGTATATCCCGATCTTGACCTCCTGGTACCCCATCAGCACAGTCAATACTTTCGCCCTTGATTTTCCCAGGTTAGATTCTAGCATCCAATAATGCTGGCCGTTATTATCGCTACTTTAATTGATGGGTGTGCAGCACCGGATATTTTTCATTTTAACCGTTCCCTTCTTTGCTTTGAAAGATTCTTTGATGATCCTGTAGCTTACAACCGCTCTTCATGCCTTCTTGAACGGCATCAGTGCAACCCCTGTTGTATGTAGGTCTCTCTTCCTCGTTACCAAAATATATTTATAGTTGTGTCGTTTTTGCCTGAATTGTTTCCAATCAGTTCTACCTATTTGAAGCACCAATTATTTGAATCTTCTAGTATCTAGCGCTATTTGAATAATCCTCTTGGTCTTCCACATTGTTTTTGCCATTCCTCGAATCTATATTAATTGTTACTCTGATTGTTAGAATAGGGCATGAACCTTTTGGCTTCCAATGAGTCTCAGTCATAACTCTACTAATTGAAGATGTTTCTACTCTTGAGGGGAGTTTAAATGACTTGAATGACTTGCGAATAGATTTTTAGCAAGGTTTTCACGAGATAAGGTTGTTACACTTACACAGCGCAACTTAGGGATCGGCAGTAACGATAGAGAAGTTCTAGGCGTAGTCAAATTTATGTAGTGGACAATCGTAATTTTCGACCACTACAGATGACATTTGGGAACCTAATCGTAATTATTTCCTACTTTAACATTGGACAGTTGGTGTTAGCATATTTTTTCTTTGTTTTCAGAACTACGAAAGCACTGTACAGACAACTTGTCAGCATTATTCAAAGGCTTGATTAAGGGTGTATGAAGTTCTACCGTTACTAATGGAAGACATTATCCCAGACTTAGTATATGATACGACACTGAGTCCACCTCCTTCAGACAAAGTTCCTGTGACAATTCTGTCAGGATACCTTGGTTAGTTTACAATTTGTATTGACCGAACTTTGCTTTTTAATGTCATCTTTAAAAATCTGAGTTTAATAATTACACGAGTAGTATTTTTTCAAAGCATAATTTATTCTATCCTAGTAAATACTCAGTCAGAGTTCGGCCTGCAAGAATGATTTAGGCATGAGATTACCACTTTATTGCTTGCTTCAGATATGTGATGATTCGTAATGTCGGTAAAAGGACGTTCGAGCATTGTTCTTAATTTTCGTTGGTCTCATTGTCCAGTAAGTAAAAACAGCTAATTTTTTAACATGTTAGTTTAACTTCTATCAAAAAGTCTGCTGCTTTTTTGATCAATAGTCTTTCAGTAGGCCAGTCTTGTGTTTTTTACAAAGATTAGAAACTCAAATTTATGTCGTGGATTTTAATATATACGTGCAAAATTATGGTGTGAATCTGTGTATTGTAAGTAATCGAAGTACTTGGGTGCCCACCATAATTTTCCATATCAAATAAATGAGATTTAGTACGTTTAAATTCAATTTAATCACTGGGACTACTGAAGTAAAGAGTTCCAGGATAAAGTCATCAAAATTACTGAATTGAGCAACAAGAAATGTCTAACCTGATAATCCTTTCAGGTTAAGATTTTAAGTACTTAAATGTCAGAGAATAAAATCAAACTTTAAAAATGTAGTTGTTCTCTCTGCAGTACAATATTTCAAGAGACAGTTTTTAAGATTCGTTTTGATTTTGTTGCTTAGAAAAATATCATTCACCTTAGATTCTTTATAGAAACAGACTACTAAATGGGATCGACTTTTGACCACCGATTGTTTTGTTCACTAAATTAAAAGCGGCAATGCCCATAGTGTATGCCTCAATGCAAGCTGTTCTCAGCCTAATCCAGCAGTTCTACTCTATTTTAATACATAAAATAATACATTTCTAAAATAAAGACAGACCGACCAACTTTTATCCATTGTGTTTTCAAGCATATGTTTTGTCAGTGTTGATAAATTGCATTTTGAGTCAACTGCAATAATTAAAATACACTTATTACATTGATTTTAGGTGCTGGGAAAACTACTCTTTTGAATTATATTCTAACTTATGCTCACAACAAAAGGATTGCTGTTCTTTTAAACGATTTTGGTGAAGGTTCAGCCGTAGAGTCTAGTGTTGCATGGAGTGAAAAAGATGGCAACCTCTTTGAAGAATGGATAGAATTACGCAACGGTTGTTTATGCTGTTCTTTGAAAGATGCAAGCGTACGGGCGATTGAGAATTTAATGAAGCGGAAAGGAAAATTCGACTATATTCTAATCGAGACATCTGGGCTGGCTGATCCAGGTTATTTGTGTCCCTGAAAGGTGATCTTCCCAATTATCTAGGTCCTGTCGCATCACTCTTCTGGTTAGATGAAGATTTATGTAGTCAAATTTGCCTCGATGGAATCGTAACAGTTTTGGATTCCAAACACTGTTTGTCGTATCTTACGAAATCTGCTGAAGATGGAATGAGCGAATATGAAAGGTTCTGATGTATATTTTACACTTATTTTTATTCCAGACAGGTACTTTTAGCTGATGTACTAATTCTCAACAAAACTGACTTAATTTCTAATTCAGAAAGATTAGCAGTGATTCAGCGTATTAAGTAAGTCACTTTTTGATAGTTAATTCATATGAGTGTACAAGTCATTGAGTAGTACGTATTCATTATTTTTCAAGCTGTCTACGGATCTTCAAACAATTTTATTTTCCACACCTCAAATTCCGTTTCAGAAATCCCGGTAACACCTAACCCATAATAAATTCTTTTTTATCGGTATAATAATTCTAACTGCACTATTTTAAGATTTCATGTACATCCGCGAATAAAATAGAAACAGAAAAGGGAATGATCACATAGACAGTCAATAAAAAGCAATAATATTTATTTGAGTATACAGTCCTGTAAAAAACACGATGAATATTATTTTTTTATATTTAGGTATGATTACCAGTACAAAGGGGCACCGAAATATTTATGTCGGATGGGATACTTCTCAGGTGCTCAAACTGAAGGTGGTCTTCTTAGGGTGCCACTACCCGAGCCTTTGACCTAGAGGTCTAATCCACAAGTCAGTCGAGCAACGTAGAGAGATTCAATTTCATGGTAGTCGGTAACCAACAATAGGTTCATACGCCATTTATTCCTTCAGGATCCTGCAGCCAGTTTGCACGATTTATTTGGAATCAGGGTTTTTAAACTTCCTTAGGTGGATCCTCTATATCTACTAACCGTGGTTAAAGCTCCGGACGTTTATTTTTCGTCGTCTCGGTTTCGTAAACAACACTCCCGGCACGAGAACAAGGCATTTCAAGAAGCAAAGTACTAAGGGGAAAATGCAGACTCTTGCCACCATCGATCGTACCAAGGTATTTATTGGTCAATAAAGACTAATTTCTTACCACTAAAAAGGTTTGTCGTACGTTTATGAAGAATGCTATGAAGGACTACGGTGAGATCATCAGTTTTGACTCATATCTGCTAGTGCTTCAAGCTATTACATTACGTGATCTCTAGGACGCCAAACAAGAATTCGTGACTAATCAACACGTCCCTATGCCATCGTCCTTATAATGTTACTATGAAATTAACTGGTCATTTGTGTTTCTCTTCCTACCAGTTACAGTTCCAAGGAGGCGATACGCCATGTAAAGATTGTGTTCAGTGTGACTAAATACACATTGCCGAATCTCGGCATTATCTACGCGATTTCGCCATTGAGTTTTAGCAATTCTTTTAAATCAGCAGTGATCAAACCCAAAGTTGACGGCATCTTTGGTTTGAAGAAGGTAGATTTCACACGTATAGAGCAGAACTGCTCTCACTGACAGTTTGTATACCTGATTTTACAACCAAACTGACGACAACGTGGAATGAAAGGTGGCTTAGAGTTGCATAAGGCATTTTGAATTTCTTTGTACTTAGATTGATCACCAGTGAAAAAATTAGCCTCTTACCCCCTCGCTTAACATACAAACATTGTCTAAATTAGGAAGGTTATTTCAGTGTGGTAAATTTGTTAATTATGTCTCTGACTGCAGCATCGTGATGCAAGTTCGCGGTATTAAAGTGTCCTATGCTACCGTTCACTGATGTTAAGGAGTGCAAAATCCATACTAATTAGTCAATTCGTAGTTGCTACTATAATCTTGTGTAGTTCTTAGTGCTTGTGGGATTTAATCAATCAATGAATCTATATATTGGTGCACTATTTTTCTCTGATTGTTAACTACCATACAACTTTCCTTAACGTTTTGTTCAGCTCTATATCATTTCTGTTTCCGAAGCCTTATATTTTCATATTATCGGTTATCATAGTGAAATCAATACTTCTGCCAAACTCATTGAAACTACCTATTGCCAGTAAGTCTCGAGTTTAAAATTTTTTCTAAATAAACATTTATTTTTAATAGACAGTAACTTGGATAATTTTCTTTTAGGTGGCAATTTTGCATGAAGTAATGTACTTTTTTGTTGCATTTGGGTTTAACTGTGGTCAAGATATAACCAGAATTAGATAGACGGATTATTTACCTTTGGTGTTTAGTCATGTTGAGAAATTTGACGGGTTAGTGGTAAAACAAGTAATCTGATATGCAGAAAATGATATTGTTGAAAGTTTTTTTCCTGGATAATCGTTAGTGGAACACAGATGGAATAAAGTATGTCTGCGTTGGCTGCGTGCTGAATGGATATAACTCCTATTCAATCAGTGCTTGATCGATACTTGGAGAGCATTCTAGAAAATTCTCGTGTTGTTAGCTGCACGCTGATTGGCTAAGTCTAATCGATCAGCGCCAGTCGATCACATGGATTAGATTCCAGAAGCTTCTCAAGTAAAAACCATAAAGATACCAACGTTGTTTCTGTTTCGCCTCCACTTCGGCTTCTTACTTCCATTTAACCTTGCTATTTGGAATATAATCCTTTCCTGTTCAACTGTGTACTGAGTTGGGGACTTGTCGAGTGTATTGCTCTCAGAGAATACTAAGCAATAGGAATAGCTGGGTTGACTAAGATAGATTTATAACAATGGTCAACTGTGTTTGGTTCTCTGAGCTCAGAGAACCACCACCACAATCATCCACCTGAGCTACAAATCTTCTCCACCATCTCAATAGTCAACTGTTTATTACTGGTTAGAAAGAAACTAACTGGATATTTTAACATAGAGAGTAGCTTAAAACTTGGAAAAGCAAACATATGATTAACAGTCATGAACAGTTCATAAAATATATGATAAAAATTATACAAATACATAGATAAGAAAGAAAATATACTGACGAGGTTGACAAAAAGATAGTAGATGTCAGAAATTTTCAAGACCGTTTACGAAGCGTTATCAGGCTAGGATAATAATGTTTTCTATGAATTCATGAACTATAGCTGTATGAGCGAAAAAATCGAACCCCACCGGGAAACTATAAAGACGGATTACAGATCACTCAGCATTGCTTTATTTCGTTTATACCATTTATTTACTACTGTCGACTAAATGTGATTAAATGGAGATACGTATTGTTCATCCGACTTTCCTGGATCCACATAAGTAGCAGTTCACTCGCTCGTTGAATAAGTCGCTTGATGGCACATACGATCCAGTATTCTTCAGATAAGTAAGCAAATTCGTGAGTTCACATCACAGAGCTAAAATCAGATAGCTTATCCTTCTTTAACTCAGTCAGTCAGTCAGATGCAACGTAGAACTTCGTACGTAAGTACATCAGTTCATGTTGTCATACCTTATCAGCACAGAGATATAATTGTCAATTCAAATCCAATAGTAGAAGAGGTAGTAAAGGTATTAGAAGTAATCGGAGAGGTTAGGATTAGAAAATATTCCAGAAGTATGATTCAATGAGAAAAGTTTAGAAAGTCAAAACTCCAGTTGGTTGAAGAATCCTGATTAGGATTTGAGAGAACACAAAGATTAAATGCACCGGCGCCATTGAGAACGATTTTTAGCCATGTCATTCAAGGTCTCTAACCATCGATTATTATCGTCTCGCGGACCCCAACCAGGTAGTCGACAACTACCGACATGGCTCAGGCCACTTGTGAATGATTTCATGCATTTCTGCCATGTTTTGGTTTGGCCGCCGCTAGCTTTCTTCCAACCTATTCCTACACCACAAAACATAGCTCGTCGAGTCAGTCGGTGGTTAGGCATATGCAGCACATGTCCCAACCACCTCAACTGATGAAGTTTCAATATTTCATATATCGATCTGCCATCATTACCTAGCACCCGTTTCCTAACAACAGCATTGCTTACTCGGCTGTCCCACGATACTCGACCAATCCTTCGGAGACACCTATGATCGAAAACCAGTAACCTACGAATATCTTCTACTCTTAACGGCCATGTTTAACAGCCATCAATTAGGAACAAGCGAACTACTGCACAGTACACTTCTCCTTTAGTCAGCAAACGGATATCTCGCCTACGCCATAAGTGACGCAGGCTGACAAAAGCCAATCGAGCCTTCTGTATCCGAGCGGAGATTTCGTCAGTCACCAGGCCATCGGCACTGATGAGACTCCCAAGATAAGTGAAGCACTCTACACGTTCGACTACTTCACTCCCTATCACTAGTTCAGGTGCCGATGTAACCCAATCTTGAAGCAACATTTCGCATTTCGACGGAGAAAACCGCATCCCGAACATGCTTGCATTGTTGCTTATGGTGGTCAAAAGACTCTGCATTTTGTCAGCGTCTTCACCAAGTAGGACTATATCGTCGGCATATTCTAAGTCAATAAGCGAGCCTCCTGGTAAAAGATCTATTCCTGAAAATTCAGACGAGGATAAGGTTATATCTAGGATCATGTCTATGACAAAATTAAACAAGAATGGAGAGGGTGGACATCCTTGACGGACACCACTTAAAGTAAAGAATTCCGGTGACAGTTCGCCATAAGCTCTCACTCGACCAGTAGTGTTGCAGTAGAGAGCTTGTATGAGGTTAATGTACTTCTTTGGTACAGAACCTCACGATCCACTGAGTCAAATGCCGCTTTTAGGTCCAGGAACACGACTATTCTCGGACGTCTAATTGTGTGTCTGTGTTCCAGGACCTGTCGCAGTGTGAAAATGTGGTCTATACACCACGTCCAGGTCGAAAACCAGCCTGGTTTTCTCTATTTTGCTCTTCACGAGCTTTCTTTAAGCGTCGAAGTATTACTGAGGCCAATATTGTAGATACTATATTAGTTAGACTGATTCCCTTGTGATTGTCACAAGAAGACTTTTGTCCTTTCTTATAGATGGGGACAATCAGTGACTGAGACCAGTCAGATGGGATCACGTCCAGTTCCCAGATTCTACCTAAGATCTCAGTCAACCTAGCTACTAAAACTGGACCACCATCCTTAAATATCTCAGGGGTCAGTGTATCAGGACCTGCTGCTCTACTTCCCTTTAGATTTCCTATCGCTTTCTCAACTTCATGTAGACTGGGAGGACTTAAATCGATTTGCCATTCAGGATGACTGGAGGTCGTGGGTAACCGAAGAGTGGCTCGAGTCCAGTTGAACTGATCCCTGAAGTGTTCTGCCTATCAGTCCAATCTTCTGGATTGACAATGGATAATAAGACCATCCTTTTCCGAGATAGTCTCACTCACATTCGGGTTCCTACTACCAGTTTCCTTGATGAGTCTAAATAGTTGCCTACTGTTGCCTATCGCCGCTGCCTTTTCCATCGCTTTTGCTTTTGCCACCCACCACTGTTCTCGATAATTGAGTAGGCTTTTTTTCAGCCTACGTCTAAGCTGACTCCGCTCCTCATCGCCCTCAGAGCCAGGCGGGATGAGTTTTCGAGCATCCATCAGTTCGATAGATGCTATTGAGTTCCACGGCTTCATCCTAGCCTTATGGTTTACCTTACTTGAAGATATCACTGCTGTTTCCTTAGCCTTTTTGATAACATACCAACCTGCTCCTGGATGGAAATCGCTTACATGGTTGCTTAACTCTGTTTCTAGTTGCTCCTGAAATATTTTGTTAGTTTGATTATCATTAAGTAAAACCTTCAGAGGCTTTCTCATGGTGTCTTTCCTACGCTCAGTAAGCCTCAAACAAATACGCGCTTGCACTAGGGCGTGATCTGAATCTAAACATGTGCCCCAGAACGAGCGACAGTCCTCTATCGAACCCCTCTATCGGTGGCTGATGGCGATGTGATCTAGTTGCGTCCAACGTTGAGACGACTTCGGGGGTCGCCAGGTCAAAAGGTGTTTTTCCTTATGCCTAAAGTTAGTGTTTGCTAAGATTAGGCGGTTATCTGAGCACAGTTGCAACAGACGGTCGCCATTGTCTGTTGTCTGAGCCGCGACACCATAACATCCACCTAGGTGTCTTTCATTTTCACTCAGTCTACCTACTTGAGCATTAAAGTCACCAGCCATTATTACTACATCAGAGCGCTAAACTTTTTGGAGGAGGTCCGAAAGCTTTCTGTAAAACTCATCTTTTACATCGTCTGGACTGCAGTCAGTGGGGGCGTAGGCTGTTTTGACGAAGAGGCGATGACGAGTGTCCCTATCCTTTCGAATCCTTACTGTCCCGTTGAGTCAAACAGCGCACAAGCGACTATCTACAGGGATCCATTCAAGGAGAGATTGTTCTGCCCTACGACTCAATGCTATACCTACGCCAGCGAGACCCCGGGAAGGTAGCATCAGGGCTACCAGATACACGAAGCGTAAACCAAGTTGGTTATTTATCTGGACAAGGTGAAATCAAACTAATGATTCTACTCGGATCCTGTATGCGCGTTTCCGAGATACAGCATACATCTATGGCACGAGATTCTAAAGTCCTAGCTAATGATGCCTGTTGCCCTATTTGACACAATGTGCGTACATTAAATACTCCAACATGTAGTCTAGAACGAGGTTTCAAGAGACCAGGAATGACGTTTCGTGAACTCGCATCGTTTGCACTAGCGGTGCCGGTTGATAAAGGAATGTGGAAAGAGTTTGTCGTGGAGATAAGAGAGGTATTAGGGGGTGTAGGAAGGATTTGATTTTGACCAATTCGGTCTCGTGCGCTGTTACGGGTATGAGGGCGATTGTCAGTTCCCGGTTGCCCACACCGTGGAAGGTTGTTTCTTCAGGGACCTGGAAAGGAAGACAGATTAGTGTTGGTCTTGGAGACCTGGGTACGTGACAGCAGAGCCCAGTGGACAACTGCTTGAGGCCAGTCACGCCCGGTCTTTTGGTGAGAAGTTTTTAGAGTACTAGCTCCTCTCTTAAAAGCCCTTAGTGGGCACCCTTGCTGACGAAGACGGAAATCCGTGAGGTAGGGTGAGGTGTGACATTGTTAGGGTCGACCTTTTCTAACCCTTCCTTCCTTGTGAGAAGGCAGCATCGCTGCAGATGCTGGTTGTCCGAGGGAAACACCTTACTGCTGTCACACCCCTCTGCAGTCAGCAGTACGACTTCGCCCTCAGACCTTGGGTAGCTGCTTTTAGTCTCATCGTTCTCCAATCGAACTGCCTGGCATGGTAGAACCTTCAGGAACATATGTTCCAGCCAATATAGCTCGGTTGTGTCATCACGATAGGCAAGCCCGACCACCACGTCAAGGTAGCAGCTTCGGTCGGGAAGAGCTGCTCTTTATTGACACTAACCTAAGATGATAATTGTATTATCTATTTAACGATAGTATTAATCTTGTTTCTAAATAACCTCCTTGAAGGTTTCATTTTTTAAACTGGTTAAACAGAACTCAGCTAAAATTGAACTCATAGCTGTCTTATCAGTCTGTTCATAGTAAATATTGTTTAAATCCAAATGAACGTTTACTGTGCACCGTAAAATTAATTCTTTAAGACTATCCTTACGTTTTGTTTTCCTTAATTTTGTTTAGATTTTTTCGATTTGTAATATATCGATGAATAAAAGTGGGACATCTAGAGAAATCGTACTTTTTTGTCAGAGTCTTTAACTCTTCTGTTTACGATTAAATTTGCACGGTTGCATCCTTGTGATGTGAACAACCTCACACTTAAATTAGAGCAAGGAGCAAGTTGCATCTTACGAACTTCAAGTTGTAGACGGTCAGTCAGTTACAACATGGAACTTCATACATGAGTACATAAGTTCAGGTTGCCATACCGCATCAGCACAGAGACGCAATTGTCAATTCAAATCCCATAGTGTTAGAGATAGTAGAAGTAATGGAGAACATTAGGGTTCAAAGATGTTATTCAAGAAGTATAATTGAGTGAGGTAAATTTAGAAGGAGAAAGATAGAGGTGATGAGGAATTCAGAAGGTTAGAATTTCATAGAACACAAAAAGCGGATGCACCCTCGCTATTTCAAACGGTTTTGAGGCATGTAACTCAGGGTCTCTAACCATCGATTACTATCATCTCGCGGAACCCCCAGGTTGTAGTATGTTTCGTCCGCTAGTTTAAGTGAGTTATGAAACTCCATTGGTATCTTTAGTTAAGACACATACAGATAACAGTTTTGTCTGTTAATGAGCTTTGTATTCAATGAATCGTTTTTGGTGGTCTGCAGTATGCTGCTGTGTAGTGGCAGGAGTTTGTACTTGATTGCAGATAGTGCTGCTGGGGAGATCGGCGAACCAAGTTCCTCAAATCAGTCTAAACCCAGAAGGTTGAGAGTAGACTTGGTGATGTAGCACGTTCCAGTGAATGTTGAATCTCTGAACGAAATGCAACAATCGAGTTCACCACGAAAGTAGAGATGACCCCCACGGGTGCTGACGGCAGTCTGCGAGGATGGTTTGATGGGTAGTTCGCCTAAAGCTTTCCAAGCTCTTTCCGACGGAATGGTGATATCCGATGCGGTATTCGAATCCAACCGGACTGGCTGACCATTGATTGAGAGAGTCAGAAATTTGCGTCGAGTAGCGGCTTGGTTGTAGAAGACTGCCGCTAAACTCATTGGTGAGGCAACTGGCCTTTTGAGAAAACGACGCTGTATCTATGAATTTCGACGGCTTTTTTATTAGGCTGATTGACAGAAACCGTTTTTGTGACCAACTTTCTGACAGTGATCGCACGTATGCTGTTTGAAGGGACAGAACTTCACATAATGCCATATCACTTCGCTTCACGTTAAGAGTAACCAAATAATCTAGAGAAACTAAAAGCTAATTATTTGCAGGTAGTTTAAAACGATTGTAGATTACCGAAACGTAATTCCTTTAAGAATGGGAACTCTTCAACGGTACTATCATATCATATTGTTTAGCTTTTTGACTGATAAGGTGGTTTATTCTCTCTATAATTACCTTTTAGAGTTTTAATTCTTTTGTTTTTTGATGCTTTTTTTTTATCATTTTGTACATTAGTACAAGATACATGGTAAAATTTAACAACCACACTTTTGATTCCTAATAAGACGGATGTTCCAACGATAGTTCCTCTTTAAATACTATTTTACCAAAATCAATTCTAAAGCTGGAATCTGAATTTTCGCTCCTTTACTTATAGGGTGAATTTGGAAGAAATTCTTGATCTTCAGATTTATTCTAACAGGTTAGTTTAATGTGTGTTTGGTTAATGTCTTCAAATCGAGGCACCAAGTCGTTTTGTTTTACATTTGCTTACAGGGACATATCATTCAATATTAGATGTGATTATGCATTGCACTTTTGTAATGGTCATTGGTGGAATTCGGTATTCGTGTTGTGTAACTAATCATGTAAACTTAGAAACAGAGAGACTATTGCAAGATATGCCACTGTTTACCGAATAGACCAAACTTTTATGGTCTGAAGGCATAAATTGATATATTTTGGATCTTAAACTTCACATTATTTTCTCTATTGATATGAAGTAATACAATCAATAAAATTAGTGCCTGCACCAGTATTTGTTATTCACCTGAAAGAATCGGATGACCGATTGATCTTAGTGTCATGTACATACCAAGCCATCAACAATAAGGGGTCGTTATTTACATAGCTTTGGTCATCAGGCTATTAGAATATTATCGCGAATTCAGATATCATTCACTTTTTGTTAGTGTATATGCCCTGATTTTGACTAAAAACGGTTTCTTCATATTTGGATAACTGTTTTCAGTTTCGATTTGGTATTATTGTAAATTTTTTTCCATTACAGTCCCAATCCGGAAGTTTTTGTCCCACCTCCTGAATCAGTATCAATCCATTTGAATAGAGTATGTCAGACCACAAACGTATAATGTGTCATATTTTCAGCGGATATCAACACTGACTTTGGAGTTTTCTCGTCCATTCACTCGTAAACTGTTTGAAAATGTTATCGAGTCAATGCTTTGGGAGCACAGTATTTGTGACGAGGGTGGAACTCCAATGAATGTTCTACGCTTGAAGGTAATATTCTCATCATAATTCGCATCAATCATTTTTAGGAGTGTAGGTTTCATATTGTGGAATGAGTCACTTAATATCGTAATTGACTTTCGCCTAAATTTATCACCATAGCATTAATATGTGCACTATTTATCTACTCACTACACCAATGAGTTAAGTGTACAAGAGGTTGGGAGAAAGTTAGGGGCGGCCAAATCAAAACATGGCAGAAATCCATGAAGTCATTGACGAGTGGACTTAGCCATGTCGGTAATTGTCGACTACCTGGTTGGGGTCCGCGAGATGATAATCATCGATGGTTAGAGACCTTGAATGACATGGCTAAAAATCGTTCTCAATGGCGCCGGTGCATGTATTCTTTGTGTTCTCTCAAATCCTAACCTTCTGGGTTCTTCAACAACTCTAGTTTTGACTTTCTAAACTTTTCTCATTAAATCACACTTCTTGAATAATATCTTCTAATCCTAACCTCTCCGATTACTTCTAATACCTTTACTACCTCTTCTACTATTGGATTTGAATTGACAATTACATCTCTGTGCTGATGTGGTATGGCGACATGAACTGATGTACTTACGTACGAAGCTCTACGTTACATCTGACTGACTGACTGACAATACTGAAAGAAGAGAAACAAATTTTGACTATAAATTCATATGTACTAACTAACTGTAGTGGTGTATATATAGTTTATGTTGATTGTAGAATAACGCACTGTTTGAAACGTTGCTAAATCTTCACAAGACCTCAGAAAACTTGAAAATAGACCGACAATAGCATAGCATTCATCGGAAACTAGAGATAGAATCAACTTCAAGAAAGGATTTGTCTCTTATAATTAAAAACTGATAGCCAAAGCCACATGCATATAAGCCAACCCGAAAACAGTTCAAATATACCAGATTTAATACAAGTATCAGCACCATGACAGCTAACAACTGATAAATAGAAGGAAAAATTTTTTCATTACTGTTACACCCACTATACAAAGTATCCACTGTACATAAAGACAATGATATACATATATTTGTTTAATTAATTATTATGTCTAAATTTAATTTTGGTGACCTTTTGATCGAAGTGAAAACACATCTATGCAGTTAGGTTGTTATTTTTCTTATTCTATGCATGTTTTGAGAAGTCTGTTTTTGAGCTTTTAATCAGAATGACTAAAGTGGTGGAGACCATAACGTACCTACTGGGTGAAATGTAGCAATTATTTTTTAACAACCTATGGGATGTTCACAAATTTAATTCGAATTTTAATATCTTTAATGCAATATCTACGCTCGGTTTCCAATATTTATAAAACTGTCATCGATGTTTTATACATTTCTTTCCTTTTCAAAACTACAAATTTAAATTTTTATGGCAGTGATAATTTCAAAGTCTTTCATGGTATATAATGAATATCATTTTATTAATAGACGAAATCGTTTTCAGTTTTCATAATAAATCTTCTCTTTTTTTGAAAGGGATTTATTCACTTCGTGGATGATGATAGTACTTACAACCTACAGGGATTGAATGAAATTTATGATCTTTCTCCAATACCTCGTGAAAGAGTTGAACTACTAAGTCTCAATGGAACAAGATTGATATTTATTGGTATGTTTACAATATTCAAAGTTAAACCATCTCTTTACTTTAGGTTACAATCTATGTTCATCAATTTTGAAAGAATTACTCATTAATTGTACAGTGTGAAAGACATTTTCATAAGATTGGTTATATGTAACTTGCATTTTTGCTTATGATTACATTAATACATTCATTTTCATTTATCTCTAGTTTACTGTTACTACGTTTTTACAAAAAAATTTTTAGATAATAAATAATTGTAATTCTTAACTATTTCATCACTGAACAGTAATCAGATTTCAGACAATGAATCACGTGTGAGTAGATATGATGAAGTTAAAATGGTTGAACTTGTAGATATTTGACTAGTATACAGCAGTTATTAGTAACTAATCGTAAACCTTTTTGAAATGACAGCACAAGTAATTGTGTATATTTAGACAATAGTGTCATCAAATAAGAATGTTTTTTGATGACTCGTCTTCCTTAATTCAGTCAAAAAGTTTAGATTTCAACTGTATGATCCACTGTTTTAAATCGGTTATAAATAATCATTGAAAAATCTAGATAAGTTTATTTCTGATAACTGAAACAGAAAATTTTCTATTAATATTATGAATCCTCCCAAATACGTATGTTTCTAATCTGAAATTTTTCGTCAGATGTGAATCGTTTCACATGAACTTGAATAAAATAATTGAGGTCCTCTTAAACTAACATTTCAAACTGTATCTTATCGAAGAAACTATAATTCATTCTTTCGTAAGTAACTAAAAGTTTTCAATATATAGTAGATCTTATTGATTGTCATTGGCTAGTGAAGTAGTCAATTTGAGCAGGTTATTACAGTTTTGATGTACTGTATACTTACCCATAAAATATGTTCACCCATTATGTTATAATGCCGCTATGTAGCTATTCGAAATCCAACAGATTGACCAAATTCAGATATTCCAGTGCGACACCAAATACTTTTCCAAAATCTCCAATATATCAGAACACAACACCTTTACATGAAGTTTTTTATGGGGTCGAATACAGAAGGAATGAAGGAATAATGAGCTTTACAGATAATACATATTTATACAGTTAGGTCGAATAGGAAACAACATTGTAGTCTATGACATTTACAGTCGCAATAGGAAACAACATTTGAAGTGACATCGATAGTTAGGACAACCGATGGGAAACAGCATTGAAGTATGTGACATTGACAGTTAGGACGACCATAATATTGACCATTGTGAATTAACCAATAGAATTAGACCTCCAATATTCTTCTCTTAGGATATCCTAACACCTCCCTCTGGAATAAAAAATTGCTGATATCATTTTCCGTTTTGGTTTCCGTCCACCGTTCCGAACTTCTATTCTTTGCAAGAATAATCTTTGGAACAATGAACATCAAATAATGAGAATGCTGATAGCCTATGATTTACTACGATAATTAAGTATGTTCATGGGGCCAGGTAACTTGACCTAAACATATTTGAACGAACAGGTGTATTCAAAGCACAGTATATCAGCCGGATTCGTCAATCGTCGTTGTTGGCGAAACGTTATTCCTGGTCTCCCTAAGCACCACTCTAAAATAGATGCTGGAGCTTTTAATGTTCGAAACTTGTGTCAAATAAGCCAACAGGCTTCATTGGTTAGGACTCTGGAATCCCGTTCCATCGATGTTTTTTGCGTCTCTGAAACGTGCATACAGGATGCGAGTAGAATCATTAGTTTGATTTCACCTTGTCCAAATAAAGAACCAACTTGGTTTACGCTCCGTGTATCTGGTAGCCATGATACTACCTTCCCGGGGTCTCGCTGACGTAGGCATGGCCTTGAGTCCTAGGGCAGAACTAGCTCTCTTAGACTGGATCCCTGTAGATAGTCGCTTGTGTGCTGTCCGACTCAACGGGACAGTAAGGATTCCGAAGGATGGGGACACTCGCCGTTGCCTCTTCGTCGTATCTGCCTATGCCCCCACTGACTGTAGTTCAGACGATGTAAAAGATGAGTTTTACAGAAAGCTTTCGAACCTCCTCCAAACCTGATAAGGTTCTACTCAATGATAGGAAAGCACGGAATATATTTCAGGAACAACTAGAGAAGCCGTTAGGCAGCCATGTATTAAGTGATGCCCACGTTAAGGCATCCAAAGATCTGTGGAAACAGCAGTGATATCTGCTAGTAAGGTAAACCACAAGGCTGGAGAGAAGTGGTGGATTTCAGTAGCATCTACCGAAGTGATAGATGCTCGAAAACTCATCCCGTCCGGCTCTGAGTACGGTGAGGAGCGGAATCAGCTTAGACGCAGGAATGGGTTGCTTCAGCGCCCAAACTTATTTTGGGTAGTGAAGCAGTCGAGTGTAGATCGCTTAACTTATCTCGGGAGACTGATCAGTGCTGATGGTCTGGTGACAGGTACGGAAGGCTCGACTGGCTCTTCCCGACTTGCGTCACTTATGGCGTCATCGAGATATCCGTTCGCTAACCAAAGGACGAATGTACTGGGCAGTAGTTTGCTCCGTCCTACCATACGGTTGCGAACCGTGGTTAATAAGAGTAAAAGATATCCGGGGGTTAATGGTTTTCGTTCATAGGTGTCTCCGAAGCATTGCTCGTGTATACTGGGACAACCGAGTAAGCAATGCTGTCATAAGGAAACGAGTACTAGGAAGGGATATTAGATCAATAGATGAAGTATTGAATCTTCATCAGTTGAGGTGGTTGGGACATCTGTTGCATATGCCAAACCACTGAGTGTCTTGACGAGCTATGTTTGGCGCTGAAGGAGTAGTTTGGAAGAAAGCCAGGAGCGACCAGACCAAAACATGGCACAAATCCATTAAGTCACTGATAAGTGGACTGAGTCATGTCGCTAGGTGTCGACTAACTGATTGGGGCGCGTGAGATGATAATGATCGATGGCTAGAGAATCTGAATGATATGGCTCAAAACCGTCTGCAATGGCATTCTCATTAATTCTAGTTTTCTGAATTCCTCGTTACCTTTATCTTTTTCTCTTAAGTTTATTTCACTAGGTTCTACTTCTTGAATAATATCGTCGAACCTCAATCTCTCCGATTACTGCTAAAACTTCTCCTACCTCCTTATCTAAGGAACTAGAATTGACAATTGGCTCTATGTGCTAATGTTGTTTGACAACCTGAACCGATGTACGTGCGTACATATTTCTAAGTTGACTGAAAAGTATCGAAGTTGCCCGAACAGCAGATAAAGAGCGTTTATTTCATTCATCTATGGAGCAAAGGAAATCCTAGTTACCGACAGGAATGTATGTTTGTTCTTTTTAAATGTATGTTTGGCACTACGATAAAGTTTCAATCTTTCGGCCTTGTTAATTAGCTGCAAGATTACTAACTTACATATGACTATATATGCCTAAGTATCGTGGTTGTCAGTGAGTGTTTAGAGTAGCTTTACGTGATAGTGAGTAAACGATAAGGTCTCTCTAGATCTTACGACCATGAGAGTCCTAAAATCTGTATAGTTTGCAATCCGTCAAGCAGAAGATTATATTTTAAGGTGAAGAAATCAGCGCCAATACTGGGACAAACATCAATTTTTGAAAATGTGAAACGTACATCTTAAACAGTAGGCATCATAAACGACGTAAGTAATAGAGACTGTTAGCTATTCGCGAGGACAGTACTTCACAGATGAATTCGGATTCTAAACATTTTCAAATCAGCTTGCTGTATGCTTCAAAATTCAGAAGATTGCCCTGGGTGTCCAATGGAGACTGTCTTGACCAAAATACAATGACTATAATATTGATGTATAGATTGCTTCCATTGTCTCTGTGTAGCAACCGGAATAAAAACCACGGAAACACCTGATGGCCAATTTTAAGGCACGCCGTTTCAATCAGATATCGTATTCTAAAATGATTATACAATGGTGTCTATCATGTTTGCATTAAATACCGTTTTGTGTTCACGTAGGAATGGACGGTTCCTTTGTCCTTATTCCGCAGCTGATCTTAATTCTAAATGCATTACTTTTGACTGTGCTTGCAGAGTTCTCTTTCCTTTTATTTCAGTACGAAGTAGACAGTTCTGGGTATCACTAGTTGGCATGATCTATCACAAGATGTTAGGTTCTCCAGTAATGTTTTTAAAAACTCGATTGAGATTTCTCAGTACTATACCCGAATTCTTTGCTCTTGCAAATGTCTTTTTGACTTTACTTGAATTCCTGTACCCCTGTTTATTCTACTGAAACTAATTATAATGCGGAATATAAAGCGGAAATTCTTGATAACTGGTGAATCTCGACGTATGTTGCCATCATAGATATAACACTCTAGATATTATAGTAAATAGGTTACTGATGAATTATATGTTTTCGATAAACGCTTGTAAAACCGATTTACATCTTTCTGCTCGCTCGTTGATGTGATGTGAGGGAGCGGATTCTAGGTCTTCGGTTTCGACGAATTCAGGTAAACTAACCACTTAGCAGAACGATTCCTTGTGAATTCGATAGCCAACTGATGATTATTGCTTATCTACAACTATTCAGTGCATTTCTTCTAGACCGCTGATGTTGCTAGGATCAGCTGCTATCAAATTACCACGTGGGAGATGGGTTGATTTCATTATGAAAAATAAAAAAAACAGAGGGAAGAGAAGAAAAGATAACGGTCAGAATCAGGGATGGAATGGCTTACGATCTAACATGAGGCATGCCAATTTACAGGCAACATCAGAAGGTTTTAAGTGCTCGCACATTTACTGTTAAAGGTTTTTTATTGAGGTAAATATTTTAAAAGATAAGCCGGCTTTTTATAACTAACAGCTGCTTTCAGCAGAGTTTGACTTATAAGAATTTTCGGGTTAGTAATGACAAAGTACGAGTTGTGCATCAAATACAGATGTCTCAAACAAGAAGGATAAATCGTAACTGAGTACGGGTTATCGAGCTTATTTAAACTGCCCCCCGAAAAGTCTGTTGTCGGGGTGCTTAGGAGAGTGTTCCAAGATAAGCTGACAATGGTTATTCAATGCACAAGACGTCGTGAAGTCACCTCATGAAATACTATGTCGCTATTTGGGTGACTAAGGGTCCTCCGTATGCTAGGCATTATTATCACATCATCTCTTATG